ATCAGTTTTTGAATTTTTAATGTTTGTTTTGATTTTTTTAAATTCTTTTTTTTTAAAAAAATTTAATCTATTCAATAATTTTTAGCTATCACTCATTTTCTTTGAAAAAATTAATTTTTGATATTTTGTTATGAAGTTTTGTACATAGGTTGGAAAAAATAAAATCTATTTTCTAGAAAAATTTTAAAAAAATTTAAGATCGAAAATTATATATTTTTAGTTATATATAAAAAAAATAGCTTGGAATGATCCTAAATTTTTTGGAGAGTTCTATATAAATCTTATTGTATAATTTTTATAGTGAGAATATTTATATAATTGTTATTTTTAAGATAAATAATAGAAAACTAGAGGGTAGACTAAATTTTTTTTTAAAAAAAATCGAAACACAAATCAAAAGTTAACAAACTAATTTTGAAATAGATTAAAGTTTAAGAATAGTTTTACCCTTTTAGCCTTAGTTGTGGTCCATGTCGACTTCTAAAGCTTCTTTTGCTCATTGGTTATTTTGGCGACCCATTACCATATGCTGCATGGGTCGGTATCTTCTATCTTTGAATAATGATTAATGACCATAACGACAACAATAATTTTATAATACTAATAATTAACAATTAATCTCTTTCAGAGAAAAAAAAAAAACAGTAGTAGTACAGGTCATTGATAACCCAACTTTTCAAAGTGAAATTCTGATTCCAAGTTATCATTTTATAGTGCAGTGAGTCAACTTTGATCCATCCACTTGTTGTACGATTAAGTTTTAGTATAATTAAACAAATAGAGTCTAAATTCTATATATGTTAATATTTTTTTTTCTATTCTCTATGTAAATTGGCATATATTTTTGCCTTTTAAGGTATTCTAAATTTCTTTGTTATTTTTAATTTAGCGTATAAACACGTAGCCAATTAGAGAGTTAGTTGACTTATCAGCAATGATTTTTTTATCCAATTTATTATACTTATACAGGAACCCTGTGTAAACCTTCAATTTAAAAAATATGAGAATAATTTTTTATACATTTACATTTTTTGGGGGTTTTAATAGCAGTTTGTTGCTTGAGAGAATGATAAAAACTAGCACTATAGTGACTTGTTTTATAACATAAATAAATTTGTTGGATATCGTTCAAGAATCGCCATAATTACCCATTCATCTTTACTGGGAAAAAAAAAAACCAACCCTTGAAAAGAGTCTTTTCATCTTGTTTGATCCAAATCTAATTTCAAACTTTTACAAAATCATCTACAGATGTGGTTTGATTATTAAGAATAAAAAATTCAAAATAAAAGCATAATAATCGGGATAAAAATTAAAGAATCGAAGTACAAATAATAAATAGAAAATTGGAATGAACTTTTAAATTTTTAATATCTAGTTTTTAAAATGAATAAAAAATAATTTTATTAATTATGATGGCAATAAAAATATTAGAGGTAATTTTATTAGTAGTAGTGGTGATAAAAGAAGTCTGAAGCTTTAGAGGAGGTGATAGTAATAATAGTGTTATAATAATAACAATAATATATTTTTAAAAAATTAATACTATTATTATAGGATCTGGAAGTAGATTTGTTTTTTAATTCACACACCTAAGGTTTTTAAGAGAACTAGTATGTTAGAATTTGAATCCGTCAATTTTTATTATGAAAGACAATTATTGCTAGGCTATGAACTCTTTGATGAATGTTGCAGTAGATGAAAAATAGTGTTGGCAATGACAATAGCAATGGTATAATAGAAGTAATGATAGTGTTGAAAAAGGATTGATGACAGAATAATAGTAATAATATTTTTTTCTCACCACCCACCACCATCAATGGATGAGATGGTGGTAGTAATGAAGGAGGAGGTGATTGTTGCAGTGATTGTAGTTAAAGTAATTGATACATGATAAATAAAAATAATAATATATTGTTTTTAAGAAAAAAAAATTATTTTCATTATTTATTTTTACTCTCACTTCCTCCATGAAAATGAAATTATATTTAATTTTTATTTTCTTATTTATTCTATTTTTTCAACCAAACACTTACAAAAATAAAATAAAAATTTTATTTTTCATTTCTATCATTCTATTTCTTATTATTAAAACAACACTAGAAAGTAATTTTTGAGGGAGAAATACAAATATGCCTTTCAACAATTGGATTGGTGACAATTGAGTCCCTTACCAATTATTTCTAATTGTTTCTGTTAAGCCATTTCATTTTCTGTTAGTTAAAGTTAACTCAATCCATTAAAAAAAATGAACCAATAATATTTTTTCTTTTTTTTTTGAAAAAAATATAAAATTGTTTAATATTGATAAAATTTATTTTTATTACAATTTTACAATTTAAAAATAGAAACTAAAATTATAGATTTAATTCTTTCAAAACCCAAATCTTACCCAAAGAAAACAAATTATATTTCTTTTCAACGATTAATTGTTTTTAGGGATTTCTTATTGAAAAAATCAATTGAAGTATAAGGGAGTTGGTAAGTTCTTTTTTTTTGAATTAAAGTTGCATAATTTGTACATTTAGGTTTTATTTTTGACTTGAGAAGAATGAAATAATGAATTTCATTGACTAATATTGGGTAAGAAGTGACATTATTATTATTTCTTTTTTTAAAAAAAAGGAGAGACAAAATTGGTGGCTACTCACAACATGTATGTAACCTGTACCAGATTTTCTAGGTTCTGTTAAACTTTACTAATGGAATTGGACGACATGGCTTAGATTTAAATTGGTAGACAATTTTAGGATTCAATCTATAAAATTAATAGGTTAAGGACCCAATTGTTACTGATCCAACAATAGAGAAACATATACACTCATTCAATTTTAACATACAACTTCATATATAGACACACACTTTCGGAAAGGAAATGAAACACAAATACCTGGACGAGTTCAATTCACACCTAGCTAGTTAGCTTGTTCTAAATTACTAATATTTCGGAGAATTAGACGTAGAAGAAATAGGAGTAATAATCAACAGAAGTTGAAAACGAAAGGTGACTAGCTAGGTCATTTAGAAAGATAAGCATTGCTTTATAGACAGACAAGGAGCATCGTGTTTTCTCTCAGCCCTTCCTCGGTTTGTGGCAAAGCATGAAAGTTGCTTTTTTATTTATGTTCTCTCTTTCAGAATAATTTGTATGCTTCAACATCATAACCTTTTTGTATTGGCAATGGCAGCTTCCTCATTTACATAATACGTATAAAAACCACATGGCACAGAAATTAAAAGATAGGACAATTTGCTATTCAACAAGGCAACGCAGTGCAGGGCCCCAAAACCTAGACGGGACGCCTTAAATTTGTTCCCACATTCATTATTCTTTTGTGTATATATATATATGTATGTATGTAATTTTTTTTCTTTCATTTATATGTATTATCTTAGCTAGGTTGTTTGTGTGATCATCATGGGTTTTTGGCCGCCCAATCATGTTGCTCTTTGAAAGTGATTCCTTTGCTTCCATCTTAAGCCATTTTCGCACTCAATCAATGTCATTGTCTGCATTATGCCTTACCTAAATGGTAATATTACACATATATAGTTGTCATGCTTTTTTCCCCCTTTGAGTAAGACTATGGTGGGAGTTTAATTAATTATTCACATTTTTCTTGCTGTGAAATATTCTCATTCATTATTGTCACACAAGGAAGAAGCTGTTTAGCCCGGTTCTGTATTAGCAGTAGAACAATATATTCTTCTTTTTTAGCCTGTCGGGTTATAGGTTCAATTTACAAAGTTTTTTATTTATTTTTATTTTTTTATGGTATTTTTGAAGCATCAATTAAAATAAAATAAAAAAATTCCGAACGATTTTAAAAATACATTTAATACTTCAGTCCGATGCATTTATAGAATTTTAAGATTTGAATTTAAGAAATCAATGAGTTAATTGTCATCATCTTTGATTTGAATTCAATAAAAACTTCTACAAAAAAAAAAAAAAAAAAGAAGAAGAAGAAATTTTTAATGAATACACTAATTTAATTAGGAATGACTGGTTCAATAAATCTGAATTAACAATTGGTTTAATCTTGATGTACGGAAATTGAGTGGAAAACAACTCTATCATTAAAAGAAAAAAAAGAAGAACAAGAACAAGACTTTATTTACTGATGATTATGCTGCCTCTGTAGAATAATTTTTTTTGAAGTATCTCACAACATCCAACTGTTGAGTTTAGAAAAATCTTGAAATGGATGTTTTTTGAAACCCCAGTAAAAACAGTTCAGCATATCATGTCGTCTTCCCTCTCCAGGAAATACTAAACATTTAAACCATTGAAAACAAGGTTGAAAATTAGTAAGTTATAAAAATATCATAAAAACGATTTTCTAATGTTCACAGTTTCATCCAGCTGTATGCATGCATATTCTTGGATTATTCCACCGTGTCAAAAAATATTAGGCATTAACGCTAGAGAAACTTGTCAAATTATGTATTTGGCTTAACTAAGGTGAAATTGAGGAATCCATCCATCCATCCCTCTTAATATCAGTCACTCCCTCTGTCTGTTCACTTCTTCTGATAAGGAAATTAAAGGAACTGGAAGCCAATAAAAGGGCTATCTCATGGTGGCGTAAGCGGGTGGGTCCCTTTTCAGCACACGGTTCCAAAGAACTTTTGGACTCCTACAAATACCCACATTCCTCCATTCCTATTGCCATCAAAGCCAACAGTCATTCCTTCCTTCTTCGATATATTCTTTGTTATCAAACACCACATCCTCTTCCTCTCGTTATCACATCTTCTACAACTCAGCACCCAGTAGTGGCCTGTCTCTTTGCAGGCCTCTGTTGGTTGCTGTTGCTACTTTCCTTCCATTTCCTTTCCTTGAGGTAATCAAACAATTCCCATCACCACCTACCTAGCTACTATTTCCTGCTTGTACTATATATACTTCCGCGTTTTTCTAATAGTATTTATTTATTTGTTACAAATTTGCACAAATAAATTTGAAGCCCCATAATCATCTCTAGTCTATTCTGGAGATGTCATCTTTTAGCAAGAGCCTTCGGCTATCTTCATCTTTCGGAGAAGAGATCATGATGGTCCCAAAGAAACAGGGCATAGTGTCCATTCTTGGGTCTGATGTTGAAAGAACCAACTCTGCTGCAGCTTCTCTAAGGAGAACTCTCTCAGCTGATATGTCCTCCAAGAAATGGCAAGCCCAACATGGGTTCTATCCACTCAAGAAAATTGCATCATCTGACCATTTCCCAGCTTGTAATAATATCACAGACTCTTCATCTTCGGAAGATGAGGATTTTGAAGACAGGCCTAAAGAGACTGGAACTCCAGGGCAATTCCATATCTGGAGCTCAATTCAAGCAGACAAGAACAAGAAAGAGGTTGAAAAGCCAGGACAATTTGATGTGTGGAGCTCAATCATATCAGAGAAGGCAAAAGAGGAGTTCAAGAATGCGCAACCTTATGTCCACCCTCTTGTTAAAAGATCAGCAAGTTCTTTAAGCGAGAAGAGCCTTGAGATATGCACTGAAAGTCTTGGATCAGAAACTGGTTCTGATGGGTTCTCTTCATATCCTTCATCAGAGACTGGTGATGCAGAGGAGGACAAAGAAGAAGAGCAACGACAAGAGAGAGTGACACAGAAGCTAGATATGGAGGATTTGCGAGTGGAAAAGTACAATCTTGCAGCAGCAAGTAGCAAGAAATCGCAACCAAGATCATTCCCTCCACCAATTCCTTCACTATCTAGCCGTGATGGGGCTTCTGTGCGCATGAGGTCTCGTCGCGACAATGGTAGGTTGGTTCTTGAAGCTGTTTCTGTTCCTTCACAGAACAACTTCCATGCTCAGCGCCAAGACGGTCGCCTTGTCCTCACCTTTGTCAATACTGCTAATGAAGAAGAGGAAGAAGAAAGACAAAAGAATGAACAAATGAGTGACATGGAACAGTTTGATGTGGAGATAGAAAATTCTGAAGATGAAGAGGAAGCGGAGGAGGAAATAGACGAAGAGGTGGAGGATGGGGAGGATGAGAGAGGACGAGAGGAGGCGAGGTTTGTGATGGAGGAAGCACCAAAATTGTCAAGTGGGGTCATAAGTGTGCATAGGTTAGCACTGATGATGAACAAATCCCTAGTGTTAGCTAATAGGAACCCAACACGGACTAACAAGTTCCATGACATGGCCAAATTTGGTGAGGATGTGGAGGTGGTGGACCCAATTACCCCAGTAACACAATCACTTCCACCACGGCCTCCCGCAGGTCGGATGATAACCTCTCCGCCACCAGCTACCATTGCAGCCACGGCCACGGCAGCAAAGGCAGCTGCATCTTTTAATGCTTGTGAGTACTTTTGGAAGCCAAAGCCCGTGACAACAACATCGGTTCTTAATCGAAGAACCCAGAAACAAGCATCATCACTAGAAAGCACCCAAGACAACAAATTGGCCCTTTCGAAGAAGTTTGTTCCAAATGAGCAACAGGAATTGGTAGTACTGAGAGGGAACAAGGGAGATTGCTTAGTTCCTTTGTTAAAGAGTTGCAAGGAGACAAGGAAGTCACTATTGTTTTGGGAACCCCATTGCATTGCCACCTCCTGATGGTCCATCCTCATTATCCCAAGTGTTAATCCAAATCTCCAGAATGCATCCCAGTCCATAATTACTACTATTATTACGTTGCTACATATATATTTTTCTATCATGTCCCTTTTGTCTCCCAATTTTTCACTTCCACTACTCGAGGGGAAGTGTTGTGTAGTCAAATAAAAGGTACTAAAGGGGGACGGAAGAATATATCCTTTGATTTAGCAGATCAAAGAGAAACAGAAGAAGAAATGACTTAACAGTGTTGTTATACAACCTTTTTTTATCAGCCTGTGCTGTTACCAATTGAACAAAATCTTAGCATCATCTTTGACCTTGGTGGACTGTCTTGTCTGTCTCTGAATTATGATGGGGGGTCTGATCTCTTTTATTTCGCTTTCTTTGCTTTTGTATTTCTTTAGCTAGCCAATGGGGTTCTGGTGTGGGTCTTGTCTGGCCTAACTGATCTTAATTTTGGGAACAGCATGATCGTCCATTGATATGGGATGTTCTTGTTTGAGTTGAGGTTGTGATTGTGAAGGATATTTTTGATCAATTAATAATAAATATTTTAATCAAATTGTAATTGATTTGCAGTTGTCTTTGAGCTGATCATACTAAAACATTGAAGGTTACGTATTCTTCCAACATTTATCATACAAGGAATACAACTAAAACCAGTATATAAGAGACACTCCTTGATAAGTGTCATCACCCTACTTCTATCCTCATAAAAAAAATACCAAAAAAAAAAAAAAAAAGAAAAGAAAAAAGAAAAAGGAAAAAGGAACAAAAGAAGAAAAAAAGGAGTAATTGGACTTCCATCAGGATTGAAAAAGAAAAAAAAAAAAAAGGAGAAATGAGCCAAGATTAGGCATTGGACTAAGCCCGATTAGAATAGGAAAAAAAATCCTAGGTTAACCCTAGAAGTACTCCTATAAATACTAAGCATACACACATTAAAAAAACAAAAAACACCTAACAATCAAAAAAAGAGACAAAACAACAACCCCGGAGATTCGACCGTCGCTCGCCGTCTATCCATCATCGACCTACACTTGTCGAATAAAAAGAAGCATCCGTCCAAGATGGTTCCAACCCCATAAGATTTTTCAATTCCAATCACCGAGGAAGACACACTCGCCGCTCAAATTTTCATCGTCAATGGTGAACTTCGGATCTAGAAAGAGATAAAACGACGAACCACGGAGATCCAATCACCGCTCATTGCACGCTCGTCATCGATTTACATGCGTCAAACTAGAGGAAGTGACTATCCAATATGGTTCCAACCACATAAGAATCGCTCAATTCCGATCATCGAGAAAGCCACACTCTTCGTTCAAAGTTTTAGAACTTCGATTCGGTTTAGTCCTCAAATTACCGATTTAGGTATTTACGCCCTTACACTTTCACCTTTCTAATCTAATTTTCATCTAAATCTTATGTTTTTTTCTAATTGCTTCTATTTTCATAAAATGGTAATATTAATTATGTGATTGATGATAAATATCGGTATGATTATTGAATTTAAAATGTTTGATTAGGAGTGTAATTGGTAGATCCGAAAACTTATTTGAATACCGAGTCCGATCTAAATTCGATTGTTTTGGTATATTATGTGTTTTAATGTTAAATCGATTTGGAAATAGTGAATTAGTGATTTTTTTTTGTTTTGTTTTAATCTTGGCTTATTTTAGTTTTATTTTTTTTACCATTATTTTTAATAAAAGGGGTTGTTTGACACATTCTATAGTATTTTTTTTATAAGTCCACGAGGAACCGACCCTTAATGATGAAGCTAGTAATAGGCTAATATTTTTTAAAAAAAAAACTAAAATAAGCCAAATATGAATTTGTAAGTCGAGGACCTTGTGGAGGCCTATGGCTATTTTATTTTTCATGAAGTCATTTTTATATGATCTCGTGATTTTTTATATGTTTTTATATCTTACACTTTGTGTGTTTATTTTATGTGATATCGGTCTAGGTCATCTTAGATGGATTAGGTTTAAGACCTAAGATCAACTTTGTTACGTTGACGGGCTTTTCTTGTTATTTTTTTATGGCTATTTTTTATAGTTGATTTTAATCATTTTTTTATGATGCTACTAATTTCTTTTTCTTCTTGTAGATTTAGCTCTTAATTTGAATGTAGACCCAATTTCATATTTTAAAATGATATGGCAAGTGATATGGGCTTGAGGCCTATGTCCATTTTTTTAGGTCATTATGGACTTGTAATTTTATCTTATTTTTATTTTTTGTCGTTTGATAAATGAATTTGGGCTAGGCCCATGTTTATTTTATTTTTTATTTTTACATTTTTGTGGGACTAGAATTTTAATGTGCAATGGCTTTTAGTCCTAATTTTTACTTACTCAAATGGGCTCCAACGACCCAATGACATATTAGGTGAGAGAGCGAGTTTTATTTTAGTCCCCGAATTGCCTCTCTTAGGACTTGATTGGAAAAGAACAAAATAGTCAAGCATACAAATCGGGATAAAAAGATAATTTACATGAATGAATTCTCTTAAGCTAAAAACACAAGTTAATCTCATCGTGAGGGCACTCTAGAGGCGACTGTAGTCTTTCTTAGTTGGGTAATTAACCCCCTTATTTAGAACTCTTGAGACAAGTGTTAGGATTTGCTTAGTTTTTTTTTTTTTTTTTTTTTTTTTTAAAAAAAAAGCGAGTGGTGATTTCACATCCACACATACACACAAATTTTTATTTTTAGCGATCGTCGATAGGTCATCGTGTGATAGAATGGCGACTACGTTAGGGATTAAGGATTAAGCTTATGATGTTTTTTGCTTTGAGGAATTATCTTTATTTTATCCCGATATGCTTGTATTTTTGTTAATTTTACTTTGATGTTTGGGTTTGTATATGAAGTGTGGCTCCATGGCACATATTAGCACGGACACAAGAATAATCTTTGAGCCTACACACACTCGATCCCTTAACCTAAGGTTAGAAGAGAGAGGTGGCACTCGAGGGACTATGGTCTCGGAGCTCATGCAACTCACCTTTCCACCCACATGGGATATTTATTCTTGTACATAAGATTACAAAGGGCAACCTAGTAACCTTTATTCATGAAAATAGAACTTCGACTATTTCCTACTATGGTTGAACTTGATCCCACGATGGGAGCATTTGAAGAAGTTAGGCTAAGACAACCTTACCCGATCACGTTTAGATAAATCTAGAACTTATCCACTAGAGCTACTCTCGGGACAAAAGGGCATATGTGGTTTGTTTTCTTATACGGAATATTCATAACATGGTCTTCCTTTAGAAATGGCATGACTATTAAGACTATAATTAATGGTGATTGCTTTGCTCTCTTGAATCAAGATACCATGCCCATGCTGGCATAGTTTGTTACGAAACTAGCGACGATAACAAAAACCATCTTAATGTCTAGCCCACTTGTTGGCTTTAAAATTAGATTGATAGCTATGATGCTCCTTTCAATTAAAGCACACTTTATAATCACGCCTAACATGAGTTTTCTTATGAAAGTACTCCATCTTTCTAAGTCTTATTCTTTACACATTTTTGTCAAGAGAAATTTAGGTTGTATTGTAAAAGCTTAACCCACATCAAAGATTCATAATACAAGAATTAGAAGAAGGATGAAAATGAAGAAAGAAATCGAGTTGGAGTAAAAGTATGGCAATGAGGTTGAAACTATCAAGGGAGAAGTAGCTAAACTAATTAGTTTGTTAAAGTAACTACTGCAAGAAAAAGCATTGAATGAAGGGACCTCCAAGAGGGCTAACTCTTATATGCCACTCGGTTACTAAAGAACCCTTCACCCAAATCAAGCATTAAAATAACATAATTACCTCTATGGTCGATCATCCTTTAACCACACTCGCACTCCAGGAGGTATCTATCCATCTTTGGTACTTCAAATGGATTCATTAGTCGGCTTCATCATATCATAATACTCCATACCCATTTTTGGTACTTCAAATGGATTCACTAGTCGGCTAAATTCGATTATCGATACCATTATTAGAGAGTCAATCAAAGAAAAAACTATTGAGAATGATAAACTTCAATTTATTGAGGAGTGTCGAAGGGTGATTGAGGGTATGAACCTACAAACTCGGTGAAAGCTATCAAAATATGTTTGGTGCCCGATGTTATCATCTCAATAAAATTTAAAGTGCTTGAATTCATAAAATACATAGGTATCTAATGCCTAAAAACTCATCTTTAAGTTTATTATAACAAGATGGTAGAGGTTATGTATGATGAGAAGTCTGGTAATTCACATCATTCGTGAGAGTTTGAATGGTGCTACTCTCGGTTGGTATATGTGTCTTGATAGAGCTAAAATCTAAAGGTGAAAAGATCTAGTGGATAATTTGTTAATACAAGTTTAATTTGAAGGTGGCTCCAAATAGAATTACATTGTAAAACATGAAAAAGACGATAAAAGAGCTTTTTAAAGAGTATGCTCAAAGATGGCGTAAAGTGGCTACTCAAATCCATCATCTCACGATCGAAAAGGAGCTAATACCTATATTCATCAACACTTTTAAGGATTTTTATTTTTATTATCTTATCAATAATTCATCATCTAACTTTGTTGATATAGTGGTTATTGTTAAAAAAGTAGAACAAGTTATTAACGCAGGAAAGATTTTAGAATCTAGTATAAAAAAGAACAATTTTAGGAGTAGGAAAGACAATGATGTTCATTAGTCGGAGTCTATCAATTTTCAACCCGAGAGTGGTGGAGCAATCAATTACATCCAAACCATCACTCTTTCTAGATGAGAAATATAAATATTCAAGTACCACTTTTATATGCACCTCCTATGAATACTGCTCATGACGATATAGGTAATGTATTCATATCAACTCCAAACTATCAATAGTCTTTCAATTATCAGCTGAAGCCTCCATCTAAAAGCAATCAAATTACAAGGTACCAAGACATATTACGCCTTCTTTCTATGTCTTTGGATGAGTTATTCAAGCATCTCAATA